AGTCACATATTTGGTGAGCTAACAAACCAACCGTTTTTTAACTTTCAAAGGCTTCATAGTTCATATTAGCCTTGTCTACTGGTTCTCAGTTAATAATAATTATGGAAAAAATAGAGACTAAAATATCAAAAAAAAAAAAACAGAGGCATGACGAGAACCCAAAGAATAATTCACATTCTTAAATTCAAAAATAGCAAAATGAAAATGAGATGGATACGGACCTTTCTTGGGGCAGCGAACTCGAGACGGCAACGAGCTTGAGAGCAATGATTCTTCTACCACAAGATTCAATTACAAATAGACAACCAAGAAGTTCAAAATCAGCTGCAAACTATATTTTTAGAAATTCACTTGAAACTTTCTAATGTAAAGTAATTATCGCTTCAAAACTCAACTCCCCTGCCTCCTCCCAAATCCTTTGAGCATGAGAACTATTTATAGGGGAAGAACATAGAAATTTTGGTGGGAGATCCATTGGATTTTTTCAAAGAAAGAGTTTGAATTGCTCCTTTCCAAGATCAACAGTAAAAGGCATGGGGGGGGGGGTTGTATCTTTATTCTGAAAATCCACAAAAAGGGGAAAAGGGACGAGAAGGACGATGATGGTACTGTATCGCCGTTTGGAGTTAGAACCATCCGAGTTTTGAGGAAAAGAAGAAGAAGACGTACAAAGGGTACTGTTGGATGCCAACGTCTCGCTAAAAATTACGGCGTGTGTCTGGCTTGAAGCATACGTTGCTCGTTCCTCGCTGGTTTCTCGCTTATTTTCAACGTAGAAGACGACCTACAGGGGTGGGTCGGGTATTGCTGCTGAGTTGGGAATGTTTAACAAATTGGGTTTGTTATTGAGAATGGGTATCTTTGGAATTGTGTATTGGTGTGGGCTGCTGATTGTATTATTGTTGGCCTGCTGATTGTATTGTTGTTGGGCTGAAAATTGAATTGAAATTGGGCCCAAAACTAAAGCTGAAAAAATGAGCTTAAAAGGGAAGTGAAAAAGATAGTCAATTCAATTGCAATTATAGCCAAATAGAAATTAAGAAGTTAGCCAATTGAGTAAAAATTTAGATGAATTAACATTAATTAATTAACATCGTAACAAGATATAATAATTAAATTAATTATAAACTAATTAACTGAAAATTATAACTATAACTTAAAATAAAGTGAATTAATAAAGTTTCTAACTAAAACATAAAAATCTTCTGTGATGATTTTCAAATATTTATAAAATAACATGATAATAAGAATATACATATTTATTATTTAAAATTATATAAAATGACAAAATTCCTAAAATAATTTTAAGTATTTTGAATTTCATGAAACTCATTAATTCGAAATTATAACCTACTTAATAATATATAAAATCTTTTTGAGATGATTTTTAAATATTCATAAAATATGATAATCAAATAATTATATAAAACATATAAATTTATTTAAAATTATAAATAAAATAAAAACGAAGCTATTTAAGATAACTTGCAAACCATCTCTCTCTCTCTCTCTCTCTCTATATATATATACATATATATATATATATATATATATATATATATATATATATATTTAAAATCATTTGAAATTTAAAAATCTCGATGATTAATTTATTTATTGGAGGGCCAAAATTGGGTGTCAACAACTGTCCCTCGTTTGACTTGGATGACGAAAGAAATTCGAGGCAAATGAAATTGACGAATCCAATTTTGACCGACCACATCCTCATCTTTTGAAAAAGGATTTTGGTACGGATTTTAGCAATTATGGCCGAGCCCTAGTAGAAGGTTTACTAAATTTCTCAGGCTATATGAGAAGTCAGACCGCTTGTAGTTCGATAAGCTTGATTTAACGCACGATTATGAAAGACTTCAAAATCTATCCCGATATCGAATTATGAAGAGAACGGAAAGCTCGAGAATAAGATTTAAGAAAGGATGTCGGAATACAACTGAGTTTTCAACATTGAACCCGCCTACATATCCTTAAACTTAAGGAATCAGGTTGTTTGTAGTTCGACTCGATCAGTTGAAAAGGAAATCTATAATGCAAGATAATCTTTGGTTTTGGAGGAGTGAAAAATAAAACGAGTGTGGAAAATAGGTTTGCACCCTCCTAGCCATGAATGTGGAGCTCTTCACATCCATAAGTAAGAACTTACATGGACATAATTTCCAAAGTTCGTGGTGTGCTGTCACTCAGATTAGAAAGTTGCCTCTGGTGGATGCGAAACTGAAATCGATGAACTAAAAGAAAAACCCACACGCCTTTGATAGGGGTGTGGTTTGATTGTGGCGGAAGTTGCTCCTCAGCTCGCGTCCTAAGAGTTTGACACTCCTCTTTGGACTATGTCCCAGTTCGCTGCGAAGAAAAAGAAAATTCAACATTGTGCCGTATCCCTTTTGATGTCGTCTGCACCATGTTGGAACTTAATTGTTCTCCTTGAATATTTTACGTTAACTTCTATCAGTTTGGCATGATGTAAATAGAACATGTATCTCATATTTGCAACATGACTGTTCACTGTACTTTTCTTTTAGTATAGCAGTGGTGAAAAATAGACTAATGTTTCTTGATGGTTAAATATGATGGACCTCTTGGCGTTTGAATACAATGGCCTTCTTGGCATTAGAATATGAATGGCCTTCTCGGCAGTTTGAATATGCATGGCCTCTTGGCAGTTTGAATATGAATGGCCCTCTCGGCGTTTGAATATGATGGCCCTCTCGGCAATTTGATATGAATGGCCCTCTCGGTAATTTAATATGAATGGCCTTCTCGGCAGTTTGAATATGCATGGCCTTCTCGACAGTTTGAATATGAATGGCCCTCTCGGCAATTTTATATGAATGTCCCTCTCGATAATTTAATATGAATGACCTTCTCGGCAGTTTGAATATGCATGGCCTTCTCGGCAGTTTGAATATGAATGGCCCTCTCGACGTTTGAATATGATGACCCTCTTGGCTTTTGAATATGATGGACCTCTTGGCAATTTGATATGAATGTTCCTCTCGGCAATTTAATATGAATGGCTTTCTCGGCAGTTTGAATATGCATGGCCTTCTCGGCAGTTTGAATATGAATGGCCCTCTCGACGTTTGAATATGATGGCCCTCTTAATTTTTAATATGATGGCCCTCTCGGCAATTTAATATGAATGTCCCTCTCGGTAATTTAATATGCATCGCCTTCTCGGCAGTTTGAATATGCATGGCCTTCTCGGCAGTTTGAATATGAATGACCCTCTCGACGTTTGAATATGATGGCCCTCTTGGCTTTTGAATATGATGGCCCTCTCGGCAATTTAATATGAATGGCCCTCTCGGCAATTTAATATGCATGGCCTTCTCGGCAGTTTGAATATGAATGGCCCTCTCGGCAATTTGATATGAATGGCCCTCTCGGTAATTTAATATGAATGGCCTTCTCGGAAGTTTGAATATGCATGGCCTTCTCGGCATTTTGAATATGAATGGCCCTCTCAGCGTTTGAATATGATGGCCCTCTTGGATTTTGAATATGATGGGCCTCTCGGCAATTTGATATGAATGGCACTCTCGGCACTTTAATATGAATGGCCTTCTCGGCAGTTTGAATATGCATGGCCTTCTCGGCAGTTTGAATACAATGGATTTGACTGTGAATGTTGTATTCTTTGGTCAAGTTGATATGTTTCACTCATAATCAGATATTTGCTGATAGGCTCTCCCAAAATAGTTGGTTGATAAATATATTATCTTTGATGATCTTATTTATTCCTACATCCACAAAAACAATTTTAGTTTTGGAACACTGATCTGTGTCGATTTCTTCCAATCGTCTTGCTTCTTATCTTGCTATCTTTGGAAGTTTGGTTGACTCTACGAATCACTATAGACAAAAGACAAGATCATATTTAAATAAAAACACTTGTTATGTACGAAGTTTTTAGAAACATAGTTTTAAAGAAAATCTCTGCTAAGTAATCGTCACGACATGCACGACACAAACAAAACCTTTGTCTCAGATTCTGTCATGATAGATATCTTGTTGGAATTTCAGAACTCCTTGTAAATATGTCATATTGAAGTAGTTGAAGTTGACTCTGACGTTCCGAGTACCCTTGATGGAATTTTTGAGGCCTTCCTAAAAAAATTTGTCCCAGTAAATGTTTTAAAAGAAATTTGATGGTAATCACGAAGTCATGATATCTTGCAATTTGTTGATATTTCCTCAAAATCATACTCTAATCGGATATTTTGATATGATCTTTGACCCTTGTTTGTAAAAAAAGAACTCTTCGTGTAGGATTTTTGAGATCCTCTCAAAAATTTTATCCCAGTTTCAATTATGAAGGGAAATGGAAATCTTATTGGAAATATGACCGAACCCTTGTGGCGCCTACGTATCCCGCTGAGGCAGGAATCAGGTCACACGTAGTTCCCCTATTGATGGTTAACATGAATAAGAAATTTTGATAAGAAAATGACCGAGGCCGACATAGGCCGCCTACGTATCTCGTTTTTGAGAATTCAGGTCGAACGTAGTTCAAGTACACAAGGAATGTCCCAAAGATTAATGCGACCAAAGATTACGAACAAATTGCGATTACAAGGAAATAAAGGAAAGAAATATTATTCTTCGAATGTAATATCTCTTGACGGCATCTGAATTGATAGCTTTTCTCCATACTCTACCATTCATCTCTGCTAGGACCAAAGCTCCTCTTGACAGTACTTTGTGGACAACATACGGTCCTTGCCAGTTAGGTGCAAATTTCCCTTTATATTCCTCTTTATGAGGGAAAATGCGCTTCAACACCAATTGACCTACCTCAAATGTTCGAACTCTTACTTTCTTGTTGAAAGCACGAATCATTCTCTGTTGATACAACTGGCCATGACAAACGACACTCATTATTTTCTCATCAATCAATGTTAACTGCTCATAGATCACGAACCCATTCGGCATCGCTCAATCCAGCTTCCTGAATAATCCTCAAAGACGGTATCTCAACTTCAGCCGGTATCACTGCCTCTGTTCCGCATACTAACAAATCCAGTTGAAGTTCGAATTGTGGTGCGATAATCTAGCAAGTCATAAGGCAAATTTTCATGCCAACATTTGTAGTTGTCAATCATATTTCTCAATATCCTCTTGATGTTCTTATTGGCAGCTTCGACAGCTCCATTCATTTGAGGACGATATGCAGTTGAATTACGGTGGTTAATTTTGAATTGTTCACATATCTCTTTCATCAAATGATTGTTAAGATTTGCACCATTGTCCGTGATGAGAGACTCAGGAACTCCAAAACGACATATCAAGTTATTGCGAACAAAATCAGTCACAACGTTCTTCGTCACAGCTTTATAGGAAGCAGCTTCGACCCACTTCGTGAAATAATCAATGGCGACCAAAATAAACCTACGACAATTGGAGGCCGCAGGCTCAATTGGTCCAATAACATCCATGCCCCCATGCTACAAATAGCCAAGGAGAACTCATTGCATTGAGCTCGTGAGGAGGTACTTTGATCAGATCTCCATGTACCTGACATTTATGACATCTTTGGAAAAATCGAACACAATCGTTTTCCATAGTCATCCAGAAGTATCCTGCCCTTAAGATTTTCTTTGCTAATGTAAACCCATTCATATGCATCCCGCACATTCCAGCGTGCACTTCTTCGAGCAATTTTGTGGCTTCTACAACATCCACACATCGTAGTAATCCCAGATCATGAGTCCTCCTATAAAGAATCTCCCCATTCAAAAAGAAGTTGTTTGTCATTCTTCGAATTGTTTTCTTTTGGCTACTTGTTGATTTTTCAGGGTATTCACCAGCTTCTAAGTACCTTTTCACATCGATATACCATGGATTTCCATCTGATTACTTTTCCACATGTAAACAATGCGCTGGTTGTTCTTTTAAACCTATCTCAAGTGGGTCAATGTAACTCTTTTCTGGGTGTTGTATCATGGAGGATATGGTTGCGAGAGCATCAGCAAACTCGTTTTGTATTCTCGGGGTGTCTCTGAACTCGGTCTTCCTAAATCTTTTACTTAACCTCCTTACCAGTTGTACGTAAGGTAAGATTTTAGGATTCTTCACGGCCCATTCTCCTTGAACTTGATGAATCAACAAGTCTGAATCACCAATTATAAGTAATTCTTAAATGTTCATGTCAAGAGCCATTCTAATGCCAAGAATACAAGCTTCGTACTCAGCTATGTTATTAGTGCATCGAAATCTAAGCTTCGTTGTTGCTGGAAAATGTTGTCCTGATTCAGATATCAATACTGCTCCAATTCCTGATCCTCTAGAGTTAACTGCCCCATCAAAGAACATTCTCCAACCAGGATATGATTCTGATATGTCTTTTCTTACAAACAATACTTCTTTATAAGGGAAATACATTTTAAGTGGTTCATATCCTTCATCTACTGTGTTCTCAGCAAGGTGATCGGCCAAGGCTTGGCCCTTGATTGCTTTCTGAGTCGTGTATACAATGTCAAACTCACTCAACAAAACTTGCCATTTGTTAGTTTTCCTGTGGGCATTGCCTTCTGAAATATGTACTTGAGTGGGTCCATTCTTGAAATAAGATGTGTTGTATAAGCCGACAGATAATATCTCAATTTTTGAGCAACCGAAGTCAAAGCACAACAAGTTCTCTCTAAGAGGGTATAACAAGCCTCATACGATGTGAACTTCTAGCTCAAGTAGTAAATAGCTCTCTCCTTTCTTCCAGTTTCATCTTGTTGTCCCAACACACACCCAAATGCATTGTCAAAGACGGATAAATACAATAACAAAGGACTACCCGCGCGTGGTGGCACCAATACTAGCGGATTTGAAAGGTAACTTTTGATAGTGTCAAAAGACTTCTGACATTCTTCGGTCCACTTGGTTGGCGCATTCTTTCGTAACAACTTGAAAATGGGTTCACGGATCACCATTGATTGGGATACTTAGACAATTCAAGACTTGCCTCCTCCCGATAATCCACACATATCCTAATATTTCCATCTTTCTTCGCTACTGGAACAATGTTAGACAACCAAGTGGGATACTTAGTCACTTCGACGACCTTCGATTCGATCTGCTTCATGACCTCTTCCTTTATTCTTAAACTCAGATCAGGTTTGAACTTTCTAGTTTTCTGCTTTACCGGACAATACTCTGAATTGATAGGCAACCTATGGGAAACAATATCAGTGCTTAATCCTGGAATATCATCGTAAGACCAGGAAAACACATCGACGTATTGTTTGAGCAGCTCGACCAATTTTTCCTTTTCTATTACTGTGAAATGGATACTGACTCGGGTTTCTCTAACCAACTTGTCATCTCCTAAGTTGACTATCTCTGTCTCATCCAGGTTGGGATTTTTATTATCTGCAAGGTTCCTCAAGTCGTCAGTAAGGTGTTCAGGCATCATAGTTTCCTCATCATATTCTTCATATTCATCTTCATTGACTTTACTTAGTTCATCGTGTTCGTGACATGTCATGACATTGGCATGTTTAGATTCATTTTTACTGAAAAGAAAATAAAGAAATTATGTTATATAGAAAGGATTTAAATGTATATATTATAAAGTAATTTGCAGAGGCAAGATAAAAAATAAACGAGGCTTTTCATTGGAAAAAAGGCGTACAAACTTTGATCATGACTCATGTCAATGTGTGTCATTTATTTTTTAAACATTACGATGAAAATAAAGTGACATAAAAGGTTGTTTTGGGCCTCGTCCGAACTACACCGATTTTCAAAAGTAAAACTTCAAATCTTGTCTTTGTCTACCAAGCAATTCGATGAATCATAAGTGGAGTGGCCACCCAATTCTGTAGCATCTCTTTAGGTTTGGCATCTCGGATGGTGGGTGTCGCAGTGCATTCTTCCAAGATCACAGCACAATCTCCTTCATCAAACAATCGTCCCATCCCTTCCACTAGACCATCACTCTTGGACTCTAAAGCATTAGCAACAAATAACTGGTACAATTCTGGAATAGGCTTTGGTATATCAAGGCCATGTTTCTTCCTTGCTTCTGCTTTGAATAATTCCTTCTTTGTTGGGGTATAACCAACGCCAAAGCGGAAATTTTGAAGTGGGATAGGAAGAGGTTCGGATATGACATCCAAATTCTTGCCCAACCCACGTCCAGGCTCAAAACCGCTTCTTAGCATGGTTGTGGCAATCATTTTATACACCGACGGCATTGGTGTTTGCGGTGTTATATCTTCAAAAGCAACATTCATTATATCTGCCATGTGAAAGTCAGTACCTTGAGATGAATCGTCAATAACGGGAACAGAGAAACCAGGGTAACTATGATTACTCCCTTCACCATGAATGACAATTTCATGGTCCTCCCAGATGAACTTCAAGATTTAATGCAATGTGGATGGAACTGTTCCGGCCGCATGGATCCATGGTCTTCCTAGCAACATATTGTATCTTGTGGATATTACCCATCACTTGGAATTCAGTGACAAATTCTGCAGGCCCCATTTGGATACCCAAGTCTACCTCCCTCATGGTCTCTCTTTGCGAACCATCAAACGCCCTTACATTCATGTGACTTTGATGGATTTTTCCAACATCATGATTTAGCTGAGTAAGGGTTGATAACGGGCAAATATTGAGTCCTGAACCATTATCAATCAATACTCTAGCTACAAACTTGTCCCTGCATTTAATAGTGATATACAAGGCACGGTTGTGCATCATTCCCTCAATTGGTAACTCTTCTTCTCGAAAAGAGATTTGGTGACTCCCAATGACATGACTAACCATAGTTGCCAGATTATCACCACTTGTTCCCGTCGGTACATATGCTTCATCGAGTACCTTCAACAATGCTTTCCGATGGTACTCAGAACTCATCAATAGAGCCCAAACAGAAATTTGAGCGGGAGTTTTCTCCAAATGCTTGACAATGGAATACTCCTTAGGCTACATTCTTTGCCAAAACTCTTCAGCCTCACCTTCTGTGATCGGCCTTTTTTGGTTTTCTTTTCTTCGTGTTTCTTGAGCTAACTCTTCCGGAAGATAGCATCTTCCAGAACGTGTCATCCCTTGAGCTGTAGCCTCCTGGACAATGAACTTTTATTTGGGTTGCTCATTGCTTCTTTCCTTTGCCAAAGCAAATGCCTGATGAGGTGCAGTTATTACAACAAACTCTGGATGAGCCTTTATGGTCAAAGAGGCCATTGTTGGTATGAGTGAGTTGACATTTGTTTTACCGACGGTCCCATTAGCTAGCCAATCTTTGTCACTTCCAATCATATTGATGGTCTCTTCCCCATGATTCGGTAATGGGTTAAGATTCACATTGGGGGAAGGGGCCTGAAGAGTGATGACTCTATTATCAATCAAATCTTAAATCTTATGTTTTAAATTGATACACCCTTCTGTATCATGTCTTGCTCCTCCAGAATGGTAAGCGCATCATTGATTCACTCGAAAGAACTTTGTTGTGGGATTAATTGTCCTTGTGTGTACTAGTTGGATCAATCCAGCTGCTCTCAAACGCTCAAAGAGTTGGGTACGTGTTTCTGCCAAAGGAGTGAAAACTCTAGGAGGCTTTCTTTCTAGGTTAGGGTGGGGTAAATTATTGGTATTTGGGTTGTTTTGTCACGGACTTTGGTAGGCTGGTATATTGGCTTGGTGATTTAGTGGTGTATTTTGGTAGGTTGGTGGTTGATTTTGGTAGATAGGTGGTAATGGTTGGTAGTTCTGTTCTGCATAGTAGATTGGAAGTGGAGCTTGTGGAGGTGGTTGGTAATTATTAACGGTGGAGAATCGGTTGGTGTTTCCAATAGCAGAACCAGAACCAAAATACCTTTGTGGCCTTGACCTTGGGCTAAAAGATACAACAGAGACATCCTCTTTCTTTTTCCTAGCAAATCCTGCGGCCATGGATGGTGAGGATTTGTTGGCGGCCTGCAAAGCAGTGAGACTCGTAACCTTCCCAGTTTTGAGTCCATCTTCTATGGCTTCTCCCATTTTGATCAGCTCTGAAAACTTTTGTCCAATCATGGGCAACGTCCTTTCATAATACTCAGGCTCTTGAGCTCGAATAAAAGTAGAGGTTATTTCGCTTTCAGTCATCACAGGTTGTACCTTCGCAGCTTCTTTCCTCCAACGACACGCATATTCACGATAGTTCTCCGTGGTTTTTTGCTTGATTTTTCCCAAATAGTATCAATCAGGGATTGCTTTGACATTAAACTGGAATCATTCCAAAAAATCTTTGGCTAGAGCCCCCCATGTAGACCACTGACGGAGTTCTTGACACGTGAACCATTCTAACGCCTCCCCACTAAGGCTTCGACTAAACAACCTCATAATTAATGCATCATTTTTCCCAATACCCACAAGTTTGTCACAATAAGCTCGCAGGTGAGACATGGGATTGCCAATACCATTGAAGGTTTCAAATTTTGGAATTTTGTAACCTTCGGGTATTTCCAAATAAGGGTGCATGCAAAGGTCTTCATACTCAAGTCCTGTGATTTTCCTTGAAGTTTGAACACATTTAACTGCTTCAGAGATGGCCTCCTTCATGACATTCATTTCTTGTTCATACTTTTCTTCTTTGAGCCTCCACTCCTTTTCCATCTCTTCATAGTGATCCAGCTCCGGTTGAATAGGAAAGCTAGGACATGGTTCAGGGATTGAGTAGACTGGTGGAATTTAGAATGTTACAGAAGGGTATGTCGACTGGTTAGGCAAAACACATGGATTATTGGAGAGTGAGGGTGGGATTTGGTAGGTTGGCG